CACTAGAGATCTATCAAACTTTTAAGCACGAAATTGCCAAGGAAAGGATCTCTGATAATACTCAAGGTAGTTCTCTACTGTTTGAGGCGAGGACGAGAGTATTGCGAACAAAGACATACCGGGCCAAATACGTAGGAGTAGACACCGTATGCAGTGCGTGTGGATTGGTGGAAACTGCCCGATTTTCGATAATGTTCTGTAAAGGGCTTCACCCCATAGTTCAGGATTATGGTACAGAGTTTCTCAAAGTACTGGGGTTTAGCGACAGAGAGGGAAAAATAGACTTTAAGCGGGTAGAAATAACTAGAAGGAGGTTATCTGATTGGTGGCTAAAGTTAAGACACGAGTGAAAATTAAACCCTTCAGCGCAAAGTACCAGTCTTCAATCTCACAATTTAATAGAAGAAAAGATTATTCTAGATTTTGGTTCACTCAGTAGTACGGCTTTGGTGTCGTTAGCTACCGCCTGATCTCAAGGGTACAGCCATATCAATCGATCCATCGCGACATTTAAACCGCTTTGAGCAGCCGCTCGACATCACACTTGCACAGGTGTGTTCGTCACAGCACAGTGGATTTTTTGGTGTTAAAATTGCAAAGTCAATTTTTCGCGGGGTTAACCCGTATACTATACCCCCTTAAGCAAAAAGTAGCGTGGGTGCGTTTAGTGTAGCTGGCTTCAAACCATGAAGTAAATGTGTTAGCCACATGTTTTGACGCCTTATCTTCATGGGTGCTTGTATTCATACAGTTTACTAAAATTAACTCGAGGAGATTCTGGCGATGCGATCGTGCAGCGATCATGGGAATGATGGGTAGTACACGGATTTGCCTAGTCTTCGTACTTGTGGGCTGCGAATCGCTCTTGTGGCTTCACGTATTGCTGTGTTTCTGTTTTGTTTCGAAGGAAACAACGAACCCTTTTGAGCTTCGTGACCCAATTTGAAAAGGTAAGCTTAAAAAAATAAAGCGGTGAAGGCCAACCGCTGAACATTTGCTGACTTTTTTTCATGAGAAAACAGCTGCAAGCCACATGAAGATACACGGATCCAGAAGCAGTTCAGAAAATTAAAGATTAGAGAAGTCTGTGTACAACCCATCATTACCTTGCCCGCTGAAGCACCGTGTGTTGCGGCTCCCATAGACAATAGCGCCTGAGTTCCGTGTAGGGTATGATAGGAAACTCTATGCTTGTACCACACATACTGCAATATTTCATGTTCAATTGTGAAGCATGTACACAAGACGCGTGTGCTTTTAAAACTTGTGTCACTCGCACTACATTTCAAAGCAGAGAAATTTATTTTCAATGTATTCACATGCAGAGCTTGGCCGTGTAGTAGAATATCAGCTTGACACTGAAACGACGCGGGTTCAATTTCTTTTCGGACCCAAACAACCCGTGTTCGATACCCACGCTGACCAAGGAGGTTTCGTTAATTATTCTATTTGCATCGTTATTGTTCTTTCGGTGACGCATATGTTGATTTTTCGCTCACAACCAATGACGCAGAAGCCGAGACCACTGACGGAACTTCTGCAAATTGAGCTCCTTCACGCTAGTGCATTACATTGGAGTTGATGAATAAAAAAAGAATGATGAAACATTTTACAGGCATGACTTTATTTATTTTTTGTTTATCCAAATCTACAGAACCCTAATTATAACATAGGACACATCTAGGACGAATGCTGTTGTTTCCTTGGTATTCTAGCCCCAATGAAGTTAAAAAATCTCTGTTGTTTGATTAGATATGGTGTAACGACATTGTCAAAATAACCAATCACACCATGGCTATGCCGCATAGTGGTCGCCACTGATGCATTGCCGAAAATTGCTCACCCTTTCAATCACTCTGAAGGAACTTACACTGATACGTTTATTTCCCTGTATACACGCCTATGACGGAATTCAAAAGATTACCTGCAGCGAGGGCACTTAGCGAGGGTACGAAAAAAGGCAATGGTATATGCAAAAGTAGGACCGAAAACACATAACATTCATGGCAAGAATGAACGACCTGCGGCAACTTCGGCTGATAGGAAACGGTGGCAGTAACGGTGTACATACACGTAGGTTTGCCGCTTTGAGGAGTCAAAGATGATGCATTGCTGTGATGAACTTCTCACTAGCAAACATTGGCGTAGACGGAGGAGGGGATGTTTGCACTCTTTTCGAAATTTTAAAGCTTTGTATGTGCAGACACGCACATATACAAATGAATGCGTGGGCACAAACAAGATATGTACAAGTACCCTCCTTCTTTCCCTAGCTGACTGGTTGAGGTCAGTCACGACGGTGATGCGGACCAAAGTGCGCGGAACAGACTGGGGAACGGTAGGCAAGCGGACGCAGAAATGCGACAAATTGTGGCTGCACGTAGTTGCCATAGTAATGACAGAGATATCCTCCATCGGCTTCTTTGCTGCTGGCTTGCGTTTCAATCCTTGAATTCTATACGCTCGTCACAATTATACCAAACAAAAAAATTGTCTCAAAATGATATTATGCTTGCCATTCTGTGCGTCGATAATACAATGAAGAAGCATGCAACATTTCAGGACTATTTTGCAAGGCGTAACAACACTACTTGAACAATTGCTTTCTTTAGTATACTCTGCTTTCCCGATTAGCATAGCATTATCAGAGGTTTTACTTTTGAAAACCACGAGATAGTTATGAAAGATGCCGTATAGTGGAAGGCTCCGTACGTTTTGACCATCTGGTGTTCTTTAACGTGCATGGATATTGCACAGTTAATGGTCTGCTGCCTTTTCGCCTTATTCGAAATGCGACCGCCCGAGCCGGGATCGAACCCACGACCTCTAGGTCTAAAGCCGAGCTCAATAACCACTACTCCAATGCGGCGATGTCCTCATCAGCGTAATATGGCTCACTTATACATTCGCTATATATTCGCTTACAAACGTACATCACTGTTTGAAGCGACAAATGCTATATCTGCATATACATATGTACACTCCTTCATAACTGGGAATAGTGCTTAGCAATATATTAAAAAGAAGAAGCGAGGTGACTGCTACCTTAGGAACTCCTCCTATGTATATTTGAAGAATGATCGTTCAGTAAAAATTAAAGCTCCCTCATCAGTTCAAAACTCACAAACTACCTCACCATATGTTTAGAGGTATCATAAAATTTAAATTGATTGATTATATTTTGTGTTCTACTCTGTCGTAAGCTTTTCACTGAGGAAATCATTGCTGATTTTTCTCTCTTTTTGTCGGTAAGGACTACAGGGTGTGGAGCACGCGGACCCGACAGCGTCGACAGGCCGACACGGGCGCGTTTTATCGCAGGTTTGGTCACGACATAGTTAGGGGTGCGGCTGGATGGTTATTTTCAATCGCTGAGTGGCTAACGTCTGTACCTAATTCAATCCGTACCGGCATTGATCGCGAGCGAAAATGTCCATGCGACACTGATATCACTGTGCGGTGTGAAGGCAAGCCTGACTGCGTGCGTAATTTCGAGCCACAGCCGCTTTTACGGCACCAAGCTGAAAATGGCAGCGTCAATTTAAGAAGAAATAAATGGATGGACTAAAAACTTTGTAGGAGCCCTGAAGTATTGCACCGCCGTTTTATGGGGGTAGGATCGCGAGCCGCTCCCAAGTAGGGATGGGGAGGCCCAGCCTCACCGCCACATCGTGGGCCTTGGACAGCCTTGAGTTATTGGATGAGAACCAGACTCGTGAGCATTAATTAAAAGTAATATTCAAAAAACTCTCCATTTTTTTGCTTGTAAAGAATTAAATCAAAACAAAAAATACATATCTAAATTTTGTTTTCGAATTATTGTTTCAGTTTCCAGTTTTACTTTTACGTAACGCAAGGAGCAAGCGAGCATGACTTAGGTAGCGCACAAAAAAAAATTGATTATTATACAACCGCAATGCCCTGTTCATACCCAAGAATAATGCTTGACGCTCAGTGAACACAAAACCATGAAAGCAGCCTGCTTATTTAATCTCCCACCGATACGTTAGCCATAAACTAAAAAACAAACAAAATAAATTTGGCAGATCCCACGTACCTGCGAATCGGCGTTATGCGAAGCATGCGGATGGAAGTTGACCATGTTGCAATTTTTTTTATTGAGCGAAATGTCATGAAATGACGCTAAATATATGTACAGATGCTGGATATGTTGAATAGCTGCAGATATTTATGTAACCAGTTGCTTGCACTTGCGCAACAATGCCAACTGGAACATGCATATTAGCAACACAGGAAGCTGATATGAAGCACTCCCGCTCGCGACGATGCTGGCCCTGGACACTGCTACATAAATCAACTTCAGTGCATGGCAGCGAACCACAATTGACCTTAACCTGACGTGATAGCGGTATCAAAGGAGTACATTTGTAATGTTTATAAAATTAGGTAGTCTGCACTGAAACCACTATTGACGTTTCACGAATATTAGCGTCTAGTTCTAAAGTAGTTCCAAGACCTGGCGTAGCTCTGTGGTAAAATGCTTTATCGTCACGTAAAATGCTTGGGTACGATACCAGCTGGGACCCAGACATTTATTCTTTGCATTCGTTGGGTTGACGCTACTGATGTCAGGTATTTCTTAATGCTCATGCGTTAAACCACGTTTGCAAGTATGAACATAGGCACCTGTTAAAGATGGCTGAGCGTTGAGGAAGTGCTTAAGCCACGGTATGGTGGGTTTATTATTTTTTTTTTTTTGAAAAGAAGAAACATCCATGTCAAAAGTTTTGCGTTTAAGTATCCCCACAAAGACTATCGTCTTTCAAAAAAGCACGGCAGGCATACGTTCTCTTGAACCAATCTTTTCCTGTAGAGCAAGAGTATCCGACATTTTCCATCTGTAAGGTATAAAAGTCATCAATTAACGATGCAAACAATACACCAAAAAGGGGATTGAGACTATTTATCTATGTAAGGTAGTAGAAAAACCATTATGCACAGCGCGGCAGAAAAAAAGTTTCAGCGTCAGAGGCACACACTTAGTGACTGTCAGTCCCACTGCCGAAGATCTCCTCTTCGTCACGGCGTTTCTTCTCCTCTTCTTCCTCTTCGCTCGACGAATGCACAGATGCGGACGACGACGATGAAGCCAACCTTTTTATCAATCGGGCATTGCCTTGTTCTCCATTCTCCACCTCAGCCTCGCACTCTCCCTCCGACTCCTCCTCCACCTTCGACTCTGCGTCTGGGCCTGCTGTGAATGATCATAGAAAAGAGCATTATTTGTATTAATACGTGAATGAAGCTGAGAGTATGAAAATAACACTCTCATGCTAATAACACAAAGGCACTAGTTGAAGCTTAATTACGTTTTGAAAAACTAGAGCGAAATCACTCTGCACAAGCCAACACTGGTAGTCTAAAAAATGTGTTCCTGTTCCTTCACATTGTTCCTTCAATGTTTTCCTATTTTTCAATTTACAGAGGTGATACTATTATGAACCTGCTTAATGCACTGCTATAAATGCTTTCCCTCATTCACGAAACTGTTGAGCTTTTATCTGTGAGCCCATACGTTGCAAAACTTGATTTGCAACGCAGTTGTACCCAGCCTGGTGATAAAATTTGGCCCGAAAAAGAATGAGGTTGACAGAGAAACATTCAGATTGAATGATGGAATGACCACGATGCGAGATGCACTGCTAATGACATCGTCAGCACAGCTGCCGATCCACTGGAGAACAAAGAAGTATGTTTTGAATACTTCGAGGAGGGAATGGCTGTGTCGACCAACACGATTTGGTGCTCGTTAAACAAACAATTGGAAAAGGTGCAAAAAAAAGTACGATTTCACAACGTACGGGTCTATCTTTTGGAACGGTGGTAATTTTTTTCTCTTTTTCCACCGCGACAGTGCCTCACCTTTCTTCGCCTTGGCAGATTCTTCTTCCTTTTCGGCTTCTGATAGCTCCTCCTCCTCTTCTGCTTCCTCTTTCTCCCCCTCTGCTTCCTCTTCCTCCTCCTCTTCTTGAGGTTGCTCCAGTTGATTGAGCCTGGCTTGCTGTAATGCGATGCGCGTGTGCGAAGATCCAGAGTAAAAGACAAAGCAGAGAAAGCGCTAAAAAAGCAGTTACTCAGTGCAGTGAGCGTCTTCTTTTGCAGTGTTAGCTGGAAGACTCGCAAAACGAAACGAAAAGACATTATTTATCGGTTCAACAGTCCCATGTCACCCATCCCTTGTCAAGCTGGATCAAGTTCAGACACTGGCTGGCTGCTTGAGCTCAACACTGATGCCACTGCCCACGCGCGCTTACAGACACTCTGAAAGTGAGCTGCACATTCACAGAAAAGCAACAAAAGAAACTGCTCAAGGTCGTGAGTTGTGCTGACAAAATAATGCATCGTCTTTCCCCCGTGTACCTGCCTAGCTTACAGCGTGCTTGCTGGCACAAAACAAAAGAAAAAGCGCTTGAAGCATGCGACAGACACTTGCAGCTCTGCTCATACTTAACAGATTCTAAAAATGTTCACGCCCTCATATTTGTGAAGTGCCATACACTGATAGTAGCCTATTCTATTATTAGTCAAAAAATAGTAGCAGGGCCACTTGAAGCGTGAGCAGTTTGAGATTATATATATATATATATATATATATATATATATATATATATATATATATATATATATATATATATATATATATATATACTTTTCTGTGGATGTACAGCTCACTTTCAGAGTGTCTGTGAGCGCGCGTGGGCATATAGTGGCATCAGTGTTGAGCTCAAGCAGCCAGCCAGTGTCTGAACTTGATCCAGCTTGACAAGGAATGGGTGACAATGACATGGGACTCCCTGTACATTCGTTAGCATTACCGTCTGTTAGATCTCGTTAATATTGTGTTAAAACACGGAAAAATGAGCCCTTAGGTATACACTACTTTCCGTTATATATATATATATGTAAGTGTATGTGTGTGTGTGTGTGTGTGTGTTTGTGTGTGTGTGTGTGTGTGTGTGTGTAACGTAGGAAGGTAGTTATGGTTAGGAGTCTGAAGTAGAAGCCGAGAACGAAGAAGTGAGAACAGAATAAACATGGCGTATGAGCCAGGCCACGTCGCCCATTCATCGTAGCGTCACACGAGTTGGCAGGATGGAGACCTGCCTGCCCCTTCATCAGTCGCTCATCATCTACGCGGTTCTCCGCATGACACCCTGAGCATACACGGACTATCGTGCAAGTGCCTAGCATTACGCATTGACCAGCATCATGTCAGAAGCATCCACTGACCTTCCCATCCTCAAGTACACCGGAGCAGCGGACGATGGACCCGTACAAGACTGGTTCGTCCTGTTCGAGCTCCACGCTACCGCTGCATCATGGTCCGAACGGGAGATGGTCGCCAACTTTACTGACTACGTCTCTGATGAGGCCTTCAAATTCTACCTCTCCCACATATTTCAAAACGCCGAGTCATGGGAAAAGATCAAACAAGAAATGACCGTTTGGTTTAAAGAAGACAATGATGACTATGACGAATACTCGCTTATAACCCACCACCCACAGAGAATCACGCTTGGTCGTCACAGTCAAAAGCAGTCTTCGCGCATGAACCCACCTCCTGCTTTTCCGTCACGTGGATCTTCGGTCACTCACAACTCCCACCTCGCGTCTCACGCGTTCACTATGGTCGGATTAGAATGGAGAAGCTCCGAGCATACTCAGCGAAGCCCAGGGTCTACCGTCCATATTCATGCATCAGAACAGTCAACCTCCAAGTTTGCGCAGACAGAGAAACAATCCCAAGCAAAATCCGACCAAATCAAGCATATGTCAGTGTCGCGGTCGAGTTCCCAGCCACCTAAGAGTCAAACGAACACAGTAGGCTCTGAAGAATCGACTCTCATGCACTACCCTGAACCAGAAGCATCTATTAGAAACGGCGTTGCAAGAGCCTCCAAAGACCTCCCTGTCGATTCTAGTGCACCACCTTCATTTCCTTTCGAGAATCACGACAACCCAACGACTACCAACTATCTACTAGTCACATCAACTATGAAAAACGCAGGCTTGTGTTACTAAAGAAGTACCACCTCGTAAGAATCCACAAAATCAGCAGTGCCATCAAGAACTTAAAGAACTCCGGAAACTACGGCAGTTACATCAAGCACAATGACGAACTAAAATGAAATCACAACCAGATTTGTGGCTTAAGGATGGTCGTCAGAAACGACGCCAACTAAAGTAAAGACCAAGTCAACATCTGACTCATATTCGTAGAAGAAAACGTCAAGGAAGTCTTCTGTACGAGATATCAACGCTTCATGTACAATCCTACCGATGGAGATACCACCACAGAAAACCACAAAAGAGACTGAATGTTACCATTTACAAATTGCAGGTACACAGACATCGTATGATCAACTTCGGTTCTCGCGAACGCAAGATTAAAGCAATGATTCTGTCTCAGCCACGACAAAGAATACAACACCCATGACAGAAAACTCGGCGCCCACGACGTCCGATCTTCAAATTCTACAAGGACGTCAGCCTCGTTGGCTCTTCGCAGCTGCTGAAGCCGAGTCATGGTCAGTGCAGTTGTGCAGGACGCGGTTATCTTCTCCAGAACACCACAGCCAGCCTCGTCCACCTGAATTCTCTTAGATATGGCCGGACTGTTTCCCTCTGCTGTAGATTTTTTGTGCGAGTTGAAGAACTCCCCTCTGAAATGTAACTACGGCGCATTTTGAGATTCTTCGCTAGCTTTAACACCCGTTTTTGTTGTTGTGTTAAGTGTCTGACACGACGTTTCCGGGGGAGGGGGAATCCTGTAACGTAAGAAGGTAGCGATGGTTAGGAGTTAGAAGTATAAGCCGAGAAGGAAGAAGTGAGAATGGAATAAACATGGCGTATGGGCCAGGCCACGTCGCCCATTCATCGTAGCGTCATATATATATATATATATATATATATATATATATATATATATATATATATATATATATATATATATATATATATATATATATATATATATATAGGATATGGCACAACGGGAGGATTGTCAACAAGGATAAATATATTTATTTCCCATCAGTTTCAGGAGGGGTCCTCCCTTCATCAGGCGATGAGTTATACTGACATGAACTTCCAAACTTCGTTGCTATCGCGTCCCTCTCGCCTTGAAAGATGTTTGCCAGAGTGAGAGGGAACTCTTCTCTGAATGCACTCACTTCAGCCCGAACGACTCATCGACACCGTGCTTCATCTCCTATAGCTGATGGAGCACGTGGTTCTCAACAGGCTTCGGAATTATGCAGAGGACAAGACCATCTTTTCCCCAACTATGATAGGTTTCAGGGCCAATTTGTCTACACAGGATGTCATGATACAGTTAAAACATGATGTAGTCAATCCCGGGCATGGCACGGGCACCAAAGCTGTATTGGGGCTTGACTTGAATAAAGCTTTCGACAATGTTTCGCATGAGGCAATATTGAATAACCTATCGGAAATTGGCCCAGGGGTCAGGACATTTCGCTACATCAGATCGCTCTTGGAGGGCCGAACCGCAGAAATTTCAATAGGAGATATCAAATCGGACTCATTCGAGTTGGGAGGCAAAGGGACGCCGCAGGGTTCAGTTTTGTCACCGTTCCTGTTTAACATCGCCTTAATTAAAATACCGCCGAGGCTGGAGGAGATACCAGAACTCAAACACACATTTTATGCAGATGATATTACTCTATGGGGAACCAGGGTTAGTGACGCGCATCTGGAAGAAACACTGCAACAGGCAGTTCATATTGGCGAAGAGTTGGCCGGGGAGGCGGGACTTTCATGCTCTCAGCCAAAGTCCGAGCTCTTTGTGGTTCGGGACAAACCCAGAGGGCTACATGCAAGACACTATATTCTACCACCGCTGTTAGAGGTAAAGGTAGGGGGTAGGCCGGTAGCTGAAGCTCAAACGATTAGGATTCTTGGCCTATATCTGCAAACTAACAGGAATAATAGGGTGGCCCTTGAAAAACTTAAGACCACGGTCAATGCTACTGTCAGGCTAATCAGAAGAATCGCTAACCGTAAGAGCGGGCTTAAAGAAAAAGAACTTTGTAAGCTGGTACAGGCGTTTGTGCTCAGCAGGATTACTTACGCGACACCTTATATGAAGTTGGATGCCGCAGAAAAAGGTAAGGTCGAGCCTATGATCCGGCAAGCTTACAAGGCAGCGCTTGGGTTGCCTAACAAAGCGCCTACAGAAAGGCTGTTAAAACTAGGGGTACACAACACCGTGGATGAATTATGGGAGGCGCATCTGGTGATGCAGCACGCTAGGCTTTCGACAACCAAAGCGGGCAGGATTATATTGGAAAGGATTGGCATTGGAGCAGAGGCTCCCACTGGGGACACTAAAATTCTGGTGCGGCGAGAGTTACATAAGGTCCTGTACATAAAACCTTTGCCCAAAAATATGCATCCGATTCACCATACGCAGCGCAGGCAGGCAAGAGCCAGAGCTTTACACGTTGAGTACGGCGAGTACAAAGCGGCAGTCTATACAGATGTTGCGGAATATAAGGACAAAGACGCTTTTGTGATTGTGGTGGTGGACAGGCGGGGACGCTTGATCGCTTCTGGATCGGTCAAAACCCGCTCCTTGGAAACTGCAGAGGAAGCGGCAATAGCGCTAGCTATAACTAATTCGCAGTCAGATTTGATTTTTAGTGATTCAAAGACAGCCATCTGAAATCTGGCGAGGGGCAGAATATCGGCGACCGCTGCACGATTTCTGCATAGGGCCATGGGACGAGAAATGAGAGAAATCGAAATTGTCTGGTTACCAGCACACTCTGGGAACCCTGGGAACAAGGCGGCTCACCTGAATGCTCGAGGTTTTGTCAGCCGGGTGGGTGAGCCGCCAGTTCCGGGGAGGTCCGCGAGAGATGGGCTGGTGGCCTTTCATGACATAACGAATCATTATAAACTAGAGCGGAGGTTTTATTCGCCCCCGCACAAGCGGTTTACTAAGGCGCAGGAATGCGTCTGGAGAAAACTGCAGACGCGATCTTTTCCCAACCCTTACGTGTTGAACAAAATGTACCCGGAGGAGATTAAGCCGCAATGCAAATGGTGTCAGGCTGTGACAACATATGATCACATACTTTGGGAATGTAGCATAGTGCCGCCGCCGGTGGATATTATGCGTGATCCCTCTCTTGACCACTGGAAGGCCGTGTTGACCAGCTCAGACCCAGTCGTCCAGTTAAGGGTCGTGGAGTGGGCCACACAGGTCGCCGCCAACCTTGGGTTGATGGCCATCTAACACGGAATCATCCTCAGTTGCTTTCTGACGAAATAAAGTTTTTTCATCCATCCATCTCCTATAGCGCTGCTAAGTTTTCGGACATTCTGGCGCTACTTGAGTATCTATCTTACCGGTTGGACACGTTGTTTCTGCATGTGGGCACCACGGACATCCTGAAGACGAGCTCTTCAAGATCACTGGATTCGTTGAGGGAGGCATTGAAACGAATGAGGCAGATGCGCCCGAACATCAAGACACCGCATCTTAGTCTGCCACTACCTCGCGCACCCAATCGCCCATGGCGGGAGTCGAACTGGTGATCAATGAATCGGTTTATTATGGAGGTACAGCGATTCATCAGAGAGGTCCGCCGTCTCTGCCACTACGGGTTGTTGGGAGCAGGCGTCTATTACGTCGAACATGGTTTCTCAACACTCCCGCTGCGCCGCTTCCTGGCTGCTGACGGCTTATATGCAAGCTTCGAGGGAGTCGCGCTGCTGGCACAGCACATAAGGGTGCAGCTGCGATGGACGTCGGCGGCATGGAGATCAGCGGCAATCGCTTGTATGGACAACTCCAGTGCCAAGCCCCCTCAACAACAAGGAGCCGAGCGACACACATAGCCATCCAGGGCCCCAGCAGTGACGATGTCGCCACTACCACCAGCGAGGCTAGCGAGCCAGCGAGTTCCACCAGTGAGTCAGAGATCGGCGGCAAGTGCTAGCACGGCAACCTCCAGTGCCAAACCCACTCAACAACAGGGAGCCAGGGACACAAGGAGCCATCCAGGGTCCCAGCAGTGACGACGTCGCCACTCCCACCAGTGAGGCCTTACAACACCAGGCGGACGAATGCGGCAAAGACCAAGGCGGCGGCTTCCAAATGACACGGGGAAACAAAAGGTACCGGCAGTCTTAAACACGCATGGTCCCACTCATTTCGATCGATCAGGAAAATCATTAAAAAGCGGGTGCAATACGAAAAACACGCGGAACAACTAACCAAATATCTATCTCACGAAATGGCACCTAAGGGCCTCCGCCTAGCCTGCATGCAACCCCTCAATGTATACACTAAGTGAAGCAGATAGGGGGAAGTGGGAAAAAATATTACTATAAGCATCCTTGCAACTGACTCGAGTCATTGCGGACGATAGTGAGCGTAAGGCTGCCGAATACAGTGTCACGGAGGCCACGCCGAAATTGGTATTTATTCTCGGAGAGCATGAGGCAAGAGAACTGGAAAGATATAAACTAAAAAAGAGAGGCAAAATTTCAGTAGTAAAAGATAGAAAATTCAAGCGGGACTGCAGAAGTTCCACTGCTCTGCAACAGGAAAAGAGGAATGAGGCCGTACAAGAACGCCAGGGACCACCCGTACCACAACCTAATTTTGGGGAGAAAAATGGGAACTCGAAACTACAGTGCAATCCTAATCAAAACATCCTTACTCTTGAATATTACGCTGACACTCCCATGCCACGTGATAGCCAAGAAAAGCTGAAAACATATGAGAAAAATGTCCTCAATCTGTCAAACACAACACTCACACCCGCTCAGCTTCAAGTTTTGTCGAGAGGCTTAACCTTTTGTCCATCATCCGGTAGATTCAATGATTTTGAACAGTACCAAGACCTCGATAACTTTGCACGTAGTCTCCGCCTCCGTGAATACTTTCATGATCGCAAGGACTATACCGACGAGAATAGATTGATTGGTGGTGACATATCATGGTGTCCAGGTGAGCAGAGGGCCAAACACCTCGATATGTATATATCAGCAGTTTAAAAAGATATCATCAGAATGTATGAAAAAAATTGGCCATTTTCAAACAACATATCAAAGTCAGAACGAAGGGCACTCGATGAACTACGAAAAAGCACTGGAATTACCATCGAACCGGCTGATAAAGGGGGCTGCATAGTAATTCTAAACACGTCGGACTACTTGAAGGAAGGAGAACGACAACTGTCAGACACAAAATTCTACAAAGATCTTCCAACGGACCCGACTCCCGAATTTGAAAGGGAGATAAAAGTAACCGTAAACAATCTCCGCCGGGACGAGAAAATTACCGGCAAATTGTTAAAAGCAATGTTACCGGCCCATTCTGTTCCCGGTCGATTCTATTTTCTCCCCAAAATACACAAGGCAGGCAATCCAGGACGTCCGATAGTATCCAGTAACAGCACATCAACATAAAATATATCAGAATTCATCAATTCCTTAATAAAAAACACCCCCCCAAATTTTCCCTATTACTTAAAGGACACAACTACTTCATCTGCGACACTTCAAGTCTCGAGATCCCAGGCGGCAGTTTTCTGGTGAGCATGGATGTCTGCTCACTGTACACCAACATACCCCACCATGACGGAATAGCGGCTACGGTTTCTGAATATGTAAAATCTCACTCATCAATTAGTGTAAGTGGCGAGGAACTGATTACACTTCTTGAACTTGTACTAAATTATAACCATTTTGATTTCAATGGCAAGCATTTCCTTCAGGTCAGTGGCACTGCAATGGGCACGAAAATAACCCCAACCTTCGTGAGCACCTTTATGGCTTCACTTGAAATCTTATTCATTGAAAGACGCACCTTGAAACCTTTCTACCACAGAAGATACTTAGACAATATTTTTATGATATGGAACCATGATGAGGGAAATCTTTTCCGCTTCATAGAGGATTTTAACAATTGCCACCCGTCAATTAAGTTCACGCGCAAAATTTCTAAAACTAGCATCAACTTTTTGGACGTCTTTGTCACGGTCAAAAATGACCACTTGTCAACAAACCTTTACAAAAAGCCTACAGACCGTCAAATGCACCTACATTTCAACAGCAGCCACCCAAAGCATTGCAAAACGGGTATTCCATATTCTCAGGCCTACCGGTACCAATGAATATACACCGACATGCGGGAATTTGACAGACACGCGGAACACCTAAAGCATTCCTTATTGAAACAAAATTATCCGGAAGACATTATTGACGATGCCATACTACGTGCTCGCAACTTGATCAGGAATGATATAATTAAGGGACCAAACAGAGTATCTAAGACGACTTCCCAAACGAACCTTGTACTAACTTACTCCTCGAATCAACAACAGCGCCAGGAATCAACAACATACTTTCCCGCCATTTCAACATAATCAGGCGATGCCAACAACTAACTTCTATTTTCGCGAAGCCACCTCACATGGTGTACCGCAGGGATAAAAATCTGAAGGACAATCTTGTCAGCGCAAAAACAAACACCCCCAAAATTCAATCAGGGTGCCATCCCTGCGGAAAAGCTCGATGCAAGGTGTGCCCACAGATGGTCACAGCACGTGAATCCAAAGCGAACTTCCCGGATTTCAAATTCTGCATAAATAAAAGCCCTAGTTGTGACTCCAGTAACGTGATATACATGCTACATTGCAACATCTGCGGACAATAATATATCGGCCAAACAGACACGCCATTTCGGCTGCGGTTCAATAATCACCGGTACTACGCCACTTCACTGCCGAAGCTACCTTTATCTAGACGTCTGCGCCTGCCAAACCACAGTTTTGAAAATATCAGAGTAACTCTTTTGCAGTCCGGTTTCTCAAACAGGCGCGAGCGCGAACAGCGTGAGGCATATTTTATTTTCAAATTTCTAACATTAGTAGCCGGCATCAACGAGGACCCCGGAAAACTCTCCTGCCTCCGAGAAATAAGCCAGGAGGAAATTGGTGACAAAGATTGATAGCTGGAGGCCATGCTTGTTTTTTCTGACTGACTCGTACGTGTAAACTGTCCTTTCTTGTTTTTTGTTTTTCTTTTTTTTCTTTTTTTTTCTTTTTTTCACATGCACATACAAAGTGTTTATGTTCACCTACCACTTGATGACCATAAAGAGAAATGAACGAAGATTAAAGGTAAAGAGCCGACCGACCCATTAAGGGGAAACCCTTTCTTTACGCACGCCGTCACGAACCCCTCCCGCCACCGCGGCGACAATCTTGGGTGGCCCGACACACGTCGAGAACTGAACAGCCCGTGATAAAAACCGGATGTGGACGTACACGGACAGTTTGTTTCGTTCTCAGTGTTGACAGTGGTTCTTTTTTTACTTTCTTTCTGTTCTTTCTTTTTTCTTTTCGTTTTTTTCTTGTCGTTTTTCTTCCTCTTTTTTTTTCTTTTTTTCTCTTTCTTTCCTTTTTTTAGTTCCCTCTCACTCTCGCAAACATCTTTCAAGGCGAGAGGGACGCGGCCGCAACGAAGTTTGGAAGTTCATGTCAGTATAACTCATCCTCTGATGAAGGGAGGACCCATCCCGCAACTGTTGGGAAATAAATATATTTATCCTTGTTGACAACGCTCCCGTTGTGCCATATCCCATACCTTCACGAAGACTAACTGGCCCATTGAATTATTACTCCCACTATATATATATATATATATATATATATATATATATATATATATATATATATATATATATTTGGAGTTGTTCAGCTGGAGGCCAGGTTTGAGACGACGCTTTGTCAGCCGCACACTGAAATGCGGTGACACATTGCTTGTTGCATGTAGTGCATGAAGTTCCCACAAATTGGCGCTCTTCAAAGCGTGTTGCCGCTTATTTTTCATGGTTTTATTTGTATGTATGCTCGCTTATAAACAATTATTCTAGTTTGCAACGTACTTCTTCAAAGCTCTATCCTGCTGCATGGTCAAGTTCCCACTTTCTTGTTCTCCTATTACGTATTCAACGTTTGTTCGTTTTTATGCATCAATAGGTCGCACAGAATATTTCCATTCTCAATTACAATAAAACATATGAAGTATGAAACTAATTGGCATTAGAACAAGCAAGTAATCTTGCTTTTTTGTGATAACTACATTTTATTCATCTAACATTAGAGCAAGTAGTACAGCTCGGCACCTTTTTAATTGCAAGCACACTACTTTGCCTTTCCTGAAACATGCCACTCACAATAATTTACACTAGAAAAATTACACATCTTTCATATCTCTGGTTCGAAGTGTACATATTCCTTGCAAATCAAATGTATATTGTCCTTCCTTCATAAGTGGCAAGCTGTTACCAATCTAGCAAGTTGTTGGTCAACTCCCCTGAGAATTGAATTTAACCAGTTATTTAGGCTGATGAGGGAATTTGAAACGTGAAATATAAGGTCTTATGAGGGCAGGCACAATTGTACATGAAAAGAAGCTACCATAGCCAATAATATTGCAATCGTTCATATCAGTATTATTTCGGAAATGGTGAATGCCGCAAAGCAACACGTCACAGCCACTTTAAATTGCAAAACCCGGTTACCTCGTTTCGAGCTCGTTGTAGTACACTCCGTCATCCCGGGAGACGAAGAAGTAGTTTTCTTCATATCCTTTGGATGCCTTGTTCTTCACGTTCCAGTTGTACTCGCGAGCCATGCGGTACTGGTATCTGGAAGGATATGTTAATAATATTTCTCAGACAAGCTGCCTTTGTTTTTACACAATGCAAGATAGAGATAATGACCTTAAGAAAACTTTCTTGAGTACATGCTACAAAAGGCAGCATCAAAATACAAAAGCAGAATGAATAATGCCTTGGATGTAACCAGGAATAGTCAAAAGAGAGCATATTTAGGTTAGGAAGTGACAAAAAAAGTTTGAAGGATTACTACAGTGCACACATTGGCTCAATAAAAAGCTGGAAAATTTGAGGCTTCTGTAACATCAAGTAGACATTTGACAGTTACCTGACTAGGACACCGAGATGTACCGTTAGCACAATCGTATTATTTTAAATGAAAATAACTCCTCAGAACACATCAAGCAGAACCACACTACATAATTAAGTGACTGTTTCCGGAAATTAGAGCATTCAAAAGAATGCATTTTGCTGTAAGAATTGATGCCTCTTTTATGAGCACAAGTCGATATGGAAAGAGAATACCGCGTTAGGGTGGTGTTGTAATGACACTCTAATTATGCCCTCTTATTCATGTTACATTTATGCTGAGCGTATACAACAGTATTCTAAGCTGCATGATAAGTGTTGTATTTATAGGCTGCGAATGTAAAATTATAGTTTTCACAAGAAAACGATGTGTAACGAAGAGTTTCATACAACCTAGCTTTATTTCAAGCTTTACAGTGCACGACTTTTAAAACCAATGTCATCCTGAACAAAGTATTCTAAAGGTTGCTAAGACTTCAGTACAAAGCAATTTTACTGTATTAGCATATTAGTTTGCGCATTAGGCACGGAAGAGCAGCAGATTGATGAGCACTGATTGCCTTAAGTTGAACGTCTAGCCTAATCATACTGGTTGTCCAAGTTCTGTGAAATGGTTTTATAATTATGGCTATTCAAAACACAAAAAATCAGGTACCTTGATAAGGTGTTAATGCTGAATTCATACTGCTAACACACTGACGCAGTGATTCGCCCTTCAGCCTAACATAGGCTTGCGCGAATAGTGAATTTTAGGTCGAAAAAAATTCGGAGTGAATAGTGAGTGAGGTCGAACAATTTGGAATCGAATAAAATATATCACATATTTTAAACAAAGATTGGTATATTTGTTGTGACCTAACAAACCTGCAGAGATTTTTTTTCAATTCTGAAACAAGGCCTGTGCAAATGCTATTTCTTTGTTCAAAGCAAGATTAAACAACATTAAATAGTAGCAGGATTTGACATCCTGTACAATGCAAGCCTTCAGCTTCAAATTATGTTTTTCTGTAATTAATTTTACATAGAGCTTATAAGCTCGTGTAACAAGCTTTTAAAGTTTAAAAATGGCAAATCAATGTTAGGATATGGCGTTCATTTAGCCTTCAAGTAAGGCTTGACGGCAGTGCGGAGTCCCCTTGCAAAGATGCTTTCATCGTTTCTCACACCTTTACTGCAGTGAACCAGCCTTACAAAGAGCTGCATTCGGACTAATAATATACAGTTATTAGTTCATATAGACTTCAAAATTGTTAACAATTTAAATTCGAGTCGAAGTTTATTCGAATATGAAGCATTTGAGTATACGCACAAGCCTAGCATAACACAAACTTTGCAATGGTTCACCATCAAGTGCAAACTAGCTGTCGCAGATTCCTTGCAGAGGTCCAGGGCAGGCACACCACGTTTACATTTTGTCTTTGGTTATAACCGAGCACAGTTTGATGTTATATGTCACTTTGGGTGGTGCGGCGTTGTAGCACATCTGATCGAGATACATGTTCACGCGTACATGGGTTTACGTGCAAGTGTGGGTACTTAAGGAGAGGCACCCGATTTGCTGCAAGATTGTTAAGAAAATGTGAAACGTAAGCACCATCTGATTACAACTGCTAGAGGTATATAAAACTCACTCATCGTCGTCCATGTAACTCATGCCCTGCTCTACATTTTTATTCTGTTTCTTCATGGTGTCTTCGGTCGGGAGGAAGTAGGCGACAAACTGATCTCCGCATTCATCCATCACAGCTCTGCAAAGCAACGATCAAAAAAACTGAAGGGGACGTTTTTTTACCAGCAAAATGAGGGCTAGAAAACTTTGATGTGCAAGTGGATGACCTACATTTATTTATTCCTACTGATCAAATTTGACAGTGTTCTCTGCGAATGTTTGTTCCTTTATCTCGCAGACCAGAGCTTCGTTCGCAGTGCAACAATTCATTTGCCACAGTCAAAGACAGTCAAACAATCATATACCAGCAAAAATGTCACGCGGCAGCATGAAATCACAAATGACCACGATAGAAGATCAGATTGACTTGTCAAGAATCGCTGACAAGCCAACGTTTGAGAACGCATCGATTATTGGGCAACAGCCCATCAAGCGTGTGACCTGTGCATCGCCGAGGTTCACATTTTTGTAAACTCGACAGAGCCGATTCTTTTGCGTGCGGTGCTGCCAGAACTTAAATCTGCAACTCACAATAAAGTTTGCATGAATGTGTTCTGCACACTGTGAAAAAAATGTCTGGATATGCAGCTAACTCTAGGCGCAGATGTCCCTCCGCAGACTAAGCTACTGTATGTGAATTACTATTTATCAAGATTCGACATATCCAAAGCTATATTTAGGGGAAAGTTGTGGGCATTCTGACATGCGCCGAAATATCTCACTTTTCAGTCATTCAGCAGCTATAGCATTACGCCCCCCCCCCCCCTCTGAATTCATAATTTAGCGTGCAAATTGCTAAATATGACCGTGACGCTTCAGTCATCCAATTTTGTATGAAAATGCTTGGTAGCATATAATCGGTGACTGCAGATGTTGTAGATTCATTTATTACATATTTAACACAGCTTTTTTTCCAAGAAATTACATGTGTCCAATGGTGCAAAAGCCAACGCACTTCAATGTGCTTCAAATCTACAGTGAACTTCTGCATTTACACAGCCTTTTTACTCTAGTGCGCTTCCATATCATGTACGCAACGGCGCATCCTACGAGATGTTTAGCTATGCTGTCATGCTTGCCTGGATGAATACCTGAAATTATAGTGACCCCGCGGACTGTTTTTACGCTTCGTCTTGTCTTCTCTTTCTCAGCGCCAATGTTTTCTTTCGCGCTGCTGTCTACCGTAGATTCACGCCATCTGGCCCAACTATCTATATACATCTTTGTTAGTCTATAGGCTGACAATCTGTTCATTGGTGTACTCTACGTTGGAAAATATTCCGCGAGATGTATAGAAAACGTTAACTCTACACAACTGAAACTATGTTGTTTTAATGGCTGACCTAAACATGGCTACAGTACTCGCATTTTTTTAAGCTTAACAGTTGCTATGAGCAGTTGCTGGTGGAAATTATCCAATGTTCCAACAAATCTGGTAGTAAACAGCAATGTTTGCTTTGATGTATTGATCAAGTCTAAATTACACGAATATGACATGAACTGCAGATGCTGAAAACAAAAGTGCATGCATTACTTAGCCCTTAATATTCGCGTTTCAGTGGGCGAGTACTCCCCATTTGAGAAACCTATCACAAAGCATGTGCAGCAGTTCCTTATATAAAAACACTGATTTCACAAGTGCATCTTTTTGCAACATTACCGCCGGATTTCAGCAGCAGTCCATAATTATAGAGTAAGGCCACATAAAACAAGTATTTACATCTTTAATCATTTGTTAATATAGTCAATTGTAATGGGAATATCAGCAAGAAGGACATATCCAGAGATTATCTTATTATATCACATGGCAATCTGTACAACTGGGATTAGATATTTGGGGTTTAACGTCCCAAAACCACTATATGATTATGAGAGACGCCGTAGTGGAGGGCTCCGGAAATTTAGACCACCTGGGGTTCTTTAACGTGCACCCAAATCTGAGCACACGGGCCTACAACATTTCCGCCTCCATCAGAAATGCAGCCGCCGCAGCCGGGATTCGAACCCGCGCCCTGCGGGTCAGCAGCCGAGTACCTTAGCCACTAGACCACCGCGGCGGGGCCCAACTGGGATTACACAAAATATGTATACAATAAGAAACGTAAATTTACGTTACATGCAAAAATAATAACAAATACAATGAAAGAATAGTTGAGGCGAAGAGGCAGTAAACCAAGAGGTACATTTTAGGTTCAGTAACATGTGAGATGATTATGAATACAAAAGACTGCATGGAAACCTAATAATTATTTTTGCAAAGTTCCACGAGAACAGGATCCTTTACCTGATCATGGCCCGAGACATTTCTTTCAAATGCGTGATGGGTGCTGGCTCAGAGTCAAACATGACATGCGCAAATGGGTATTTCCATAACTAGAGCAAGGAAAAGGAATGGGAGTTTAGTTGCAACCTAGTGGGAAATGCAAGCCGAATGTGTTAGCGCCGCCTTTACTTACAATATTAACTTCGAATTACATGGAGTAAACTGTTACCCCCAGCCGTAGCCCAATAACCTTCAGTATTCTGAATAGCCCACTGTTACCCAACGTTAGCCTAATGACATTTCAAGAACTTGACAGTCAACTGGCACCCCACAGTAGCCTGGTAACAATCAATTACCTTGATTGAGCAGTTGCAGCTGTTATCCAGCATTAACCAAAAGAGCGTTGGAACAACATTTTAAAAAGAGCAGGCTGAAAACATTTATTGCAAATCAATGAGCACTGTTATAGAAAACTGACTCAGAAGTAGACGTTTACATCACACCACCAAAAAATTTACATTCATTCAAGTTCAAAAGGAGCACTTATGCTATCATATTTAGGCTATTCTATGCCTACTACCGGGATCTTCCAGTCTTTTTTGTAGATTTGCACTCACTCATTGTATTCTATGCCTTGCAGTTTCTCAAATCTCATTTATTTCCTAATCACCCGTAACTTCAACCGTTTCTTTCTGTTTTAGTTTGTCAACAGGAAAGGATTTTATGCCGACGTCCACCACGACTTCGCTGACGTATTTCGTTCATGGACATGACGTTATGATATATATGCTAGCAGAGTGCAAAGAAAAAATAACAAGACGGGAAAGTTTCGAAGGTGGGTGTTTAAACAGCGACCTCGCGCTCCACAGCACGTGACGCTAATCATTGTGGCACGAACCGAATATTTTCTGCCTAAGGAATAGCAAGCAATTAATATACACCATATAAAGCTGGGGGTCATCGGAGCATCGCAACTTCTTGTTATCAGTAGTGCGTCTTTGTTATCAGTAGTGAGATGGCACGACAGGCACGTGTTGAGAGTGCACTCTGGTCGGCGCGCCACGCCACCCCTCGCATCGCTAATTAACGCACCTTAACATGGTGCGGTCAAAGAGCATATAGATGTTTTCTAGCGTGGTGGCTCCCTAGCGTAGGCACTTATCTCACAACCCGGGCGCTTTGTAGCTCACCGTAACTTTGCTTTGAAGTTACAGCATTGCAACAGTTGAAGAGAGCACGAGCGTCACTTTACTTGCTGCCGTGGCCACATTTCCAAAACGAGCGCAGTGCTCACGTGAAGTAGAAATTTCGACACTTCTTCGCACTCAGTATATATGAGCGTTCATTTCGTGGGCCTTTCTTTCTGTTTGAGCAGCGTGCTTTAAATGTCTAGCTGTGACAATTGTTTGTTTGCGCTCGTCCTGTGTATGTTCATTTCGTGGGTGCTATCTGCTTGACGTGTGCGCTGCAAGTTTTGAGCTGATTGCTGTTTTTCGTGTGACATACGTGCATTAGCTCTTTACTCAATACTGTTGTCTTTAAGCGTCGTGTACGCGTAGGGGGTGAGCCTTTCCTCGTTTTCTTTTCCTGCTTTGTGACTGTAAATGCCTGAATTTGTACGGTAGAAGAGTAATGTGAGGCTATCGAAAATGCGCGCAGATAACCTAACTCACGTCTGAGTCGGGCAAAAGTGGCAGCACCTTCACGGCCTTAACGTTGGGCTTGCTGTAATGGTCTTCATTCTAGAAGAAAAGCAAGCGCGTAAAAAAAAGTCACTATTCAAGGTTGCATGAACGATAAGCTGGAAATCGATGTTGGGAAAAGTAAGATTACGTCAAAGTACTTCACAGCGTGGATAAGCAGCATAAGTTGTTCAAGATAGGCAGCAGTGAGCGGACACATAGAGAAGAGGTAAAGACTGTTTGCGAGTAACCACTGAGCCTAACTATTTATTTCAGTTTTTGTTGGCCAAAACCATTGCCGTGTTGACCATAAAATGTTATGCATATAGAAGTACTTTTGTTTCCGCATTTTACAGTTTGTGTATTATTGGTGCCATTTTGGCTCAAACACGTACATCAAAGCCAATGTTACAGTGACATGATGCACTTACCCTAAGCAATCGCTTAGAGTTGTTATACTGAAATCTATGTCACAGTTTCAATTTGTGAGTAGTGTACATCTCCATTGCACCAAATCTGCTGTAGAATCTTTATCAATAAAAGTAAATCAAGGTATACTAAATGATAATGTTGTAGTATGTATGTACTCCAGCAATAAGCTTTGGCAAATAAAGCTAGTCGAGACAGTCTTTGAGACCATAGTGTGCAAGTCTCGGCACGCCATCACAGAAGCACGTGTTTCAACGCCACCTACAGAAACACTGGTTGTGACGTGAACATGCTTGGCGAATAATGTCTTCATAAGATGCCACAGCGTTGTTAAAGTTAAAAAAAGAACTGAAAAAAAACGTGCTGGCTTTTGGGCCTCTTCGAAGGTCTTGTTGATGGCTTTGATTTGCCTCTCCTTGTCCATGTACGAGTCTTCCTTTTTGGACAGTTTCTTGACTTTGTAGCCAACCCTGCAAGCAGGCAGTATTTACTTCCCTTTGATCGCCTAACACGAAAGATCTCATCGCCAATATTTATTACAAAAGAAATGGGGCTATTTCTTCAGTCACGAAGGTGATCGGCTGCCGCGATTCAACCGTTCGGATGGGGCCTCTCTGGGCATCATAGGTTGTATTAGACCAATAGGTGAAGTGCAAGATGAGAAGGTGGTTTAATGCTCCTCGCCAAGACAATTGTTGGAAGACCGTTGTCTGGACTTTAGTTATCTGAGCAAGTGCTGAACAGAGGTGCAGAGGCGGAACTAACCCCGAAAACTTCGTTTATCTACGCTTCAGTGGCAGATTCATTGGGCTGCGTTGCATCTTTACAGTGTTATGAGCTTACAAAAGCCGACGATTGTGGCATAGTTGTCCACCGTTGGAAGTTTTCATCGCAGCTGTCGCGTGCATTAAACAATGGAATATGGTTTGATGCGGATTCAAAGCCATGCTTCTGGCACGAAAGGTAAGCGTTCTACCACACAGCCACGCTGCTTTTCGAAACTATTTTTTGGAAAGATAACCCATTAGTAATTTTTATAACTAGCAAACGCAATAAAAAGCGTAATATTGCTTGCCAGAAGAGTAGAAGTGGACCAGGCATCACACTATAGTTGGTTAGAGCTTTAGAACTCCACAGCATTACCTCCTCAAAGGGGCATGTAAACAAGCTTTTACCAATCGGCAATGCACTCCGCACTGCAATCATGAGCCAGACTGCACGTGAGCCCCGCCATCCGAGAACGTTACCGAGCACATGAGCCTATTTCATTACTTGGAGACTGTAATTCTTTAGGAATATTATAGTCCCGTACTGTGGGACTATTTCTTTGGTCACGAAGGTGATCGGCTGCCACGATTCCACCATTCGGACGGGGCCTCTCTGGGCGTCAGACGTTGTATCCACGAATAGGTGAAGTGCAAGATGAGAAGGTGCTTCAATGCTCCTTCCCAATTACAAAGGATCAGCCACAATTCTTTACAGTTTTATCATCACCCAACCCAGCGATAATGATGTGTATGGTACCTAGGCGTACGTATTGCTTAGAGATGTGCAGTGTATTCTTCACTACTTCAAAATGGGCTTATTTACCACGCAGTGGGTACCATACAGCTGTACTTGCAGAAGGTGCTTTAAGATGGCTTGCGACAGCCTCTCTGAAGACTGCTCAGCCAGCTTACGCAGTGAATGTGCCGAGTATTCTGTGCAGGTGTAGTATTTATTTTTAACCACACGAATATGCTTGATTACAGGAAACACGAACAACTAATGGAAAACAGACGTGCAGCTCTGGCTGCTTACGGCAGCTCTAAAACTACAACCAGTGCCGTTATAATGACCACTAAGTGCTACAGCTATTTATTGTGCACCATCACTCTGTTTCAGGATTGACGCCCGTCCGGCCGTATCGACTGAACTCGGTCGCAATGTACTCGGTCTTCGTCAGCCAGGGGATGACCATGTTGTGGTTCCTTGACCTGCGTGAGGAAGAAGATGCGTTTATACTGTCCTAGAATTTTCGAGTGCAGTACCCACAATGCCGTGCGGGTTGCTCGGCTTCAGATTTCCCGAACAGCTGTAACACATCAAGGATGCACAAAGGAAACAAAAGCTATCCCGATTTCGAAAACTAGCGCCATTGGGTACCAGGGTCCAGCGTTATGTCTTTTTATAGGCCCGGTATTGCGCTGGTACCAGTGCTTCCAGCGCTTGTACTGGGACGCTGTCGCTCCAGCGTCCCAGTACCAGCGCCGGGAGGCACTGGGTACTTTGCGCGAAATGGCTTCACAGGGTCAAAACGGGGGTGCCCATTGACCATAAATAAATAATTATAGAAGTAAAAAACGCTGTTGCGCATATTCAACACAAAAATTAAAAATAAAAAATGTCCAACGACAGGATCAGAACTTGTTGCCTTTGCATTTTGAACCAAGTGCTTTGCCCACTACGCCATACCAAAACATGACTATTGTCCTATAATAACACCCAGTTCAACTTCATGTTTCTAAGTCGCACAGTCAAGATTGACGCGCTGTTCCTCTCCACATTACAATTGCGTCTCAATTCCACAGTGATGATTGGCTTCCATGAACCAAACGACGAGCGTATATTGGTAAGAGCGCAAGGTTTTGCGAAGAATCCATATTTTAACTCTGACAAAAAACGCAAATTGACGGATGCAGCCGCCAAAGATTGTCGGCTGTTGCTGCCGATATTTATTTTTTCTATAGTCACATCTCGCACTTGATACTGGTCAACATGTACAGATGATTTATAAGGACTTGTTCGGTACATGTGCGCACACACGATTGAATATTCAGTATTTTTATTGTGCAAGCGACGATATAGCAGTATACAGCCGGCGTGCCAGTGTACTGATTTGCAGTTATGTCGATACCTAAACTAAGAAACCACTGAACAAAATACGAATGCAATCTGCTGAAAAAGTATGCAAGCGCGTTATTTTCACTACCACGTACCAAGTTATTAATTCAAAATTGTGTGTTCTTACATACGAGTCAGAGAAGTACCGGCTACTGCACTCGGAAAAAAGCTTTAGGTGACAGTCTGCGTTGCTTTTTTTGAAAGCTCGACACATCTATCGTCACCGTTCCTTGTGTAGCCACCGCACACGAAGAGAAACTGTTTATTTAGGCTCAGCGTCGTCTAAACTGTATTTTTCAGTCACTTTAGAATTGTGCCCACTTGAAGCAAAAAGTGCCGGCAGCATGTACACTGACGCGGTCGGTCCGATAGGTCTAATGCTCGCTGGACGGGCATTAGGTAAGGCCGCTCTCGATGTAACTGATTTGCGATGCTTGAAGTTTCTGCATTTCAGCTTCGCAACAATTCTGTTATTTGAGCTGTACTTGAAGTAAGTAGAATGTCAATCATTGCCATATGTACATTTATGTATTGGCGATATCGAGCGACAGCATTTTTTCTGGCCTCCACTGGCAGTATGCAGTGGGCGTGCAGATTTGGGCGTGCAGTGTACAGATTTGAAATTATATGAATATCAACAACTAAACAACCGCCCAAAGACATATTAATTCAATCCGCTGAAAACGTATGCCAGGGAGTCAGTTCACGAAGGCGTAGCAAACTACCGATCGGAACTTGCGTGTTCTGACATATCAGAGAAGTACCGACTAATTGCGCCCGGCAGCTTTCAGTGAAAGCCTGCGTAGTGGAAAGGGCGACACATCGATAGTCAGCGCTCCTTGTGCGGACATCAAAACAAGGCGAAATAGTTCAGTTTGGCTCACAGATGTCGAAACCATACTTTACAGTTATTCTCACGCTTTAAAATTGTGTCTACACAAAGCAAGAAGTGCCGGTAACATATTCACCAACGCGGCCGGTACGGTTGACCGACTGCTCGCTGGGCCGGACACTGGGTAAGAACACTTTCGACGCGGTGAGTTGGGATGGTTGAAGTTTATACATTTGAGCTTCGGAAAAATCCTGTTACCTGAAGTGAGTAGAAGGATAAGCAAGGCAAGAAATCTATTTACTGTGTGGCGGAATCGAAACACAGCTGTTTCTCTAGCCTCCACTGGGAAACCATGCGAAGCTATCGAGAGAGCTCATTTACGTTTCGCCAGCTTGGCGGCCTAACCAATTTCTTGTTTCTATTAGGAGTGGCGTCCAGCTCCTGGGTTATAAACACTGCAACATGGAATCGTTACAGCAATACACGACAGAGGCGAATAGTGCCGGTATAAGTGGGGGCATGCGAAAAACTTGCAATAATTGGTGCGATGCGTACAGCACTGCAAAGATCACGTAAGCTCAAGATCTGTTATGGTAGCATTATCCATGCCATCGAATCACGCGTTTCATATTCAAAGACACTGAGACATACCATGGCACACACTATATTAATGTGCACGCTGCGCTGGTAAAAAAAAGTGCGTGCTCCAGTATGCACCAGCGCTTGCCAGTGAAAATTCCAGCGCTTCAAGCACTTTTCAGTGTCCACCATGTAGCATCAAAGCGGTTAAGCCAGAGTCTCTACCAGTGAGACACAGCTATTTTCCAGTGCGCTAAGCGAAGTACCTGTGAATAACAGCGTGTACCGGTGTCTCTAGCCTGTACGAGTGCTGAAAAACATACTGGAATCACGCTAGGGATGCAGTTTTTTGCAATAGGGATGGGCACAAGTTGGTAAGATTCAATGAATTATTGCCAATCGGCAAGCCTTCGAAGTGGCATTTCACATATTGTAGCCACAAGGAATCATAACTGTCCCGGCTGGCGAGGTCCATAACCAGCAAGGCTACTTAAGAAAGCCGTAACTAAAAATGAGTCATAAATGCCATTACCGTAAAGCTTCAAAAAATGGTTATCTTACAGGAATCGTAACTCTAACGAATCATAAGTGGTAAGTTGCATAAATGTAAAGCCTTAAGAAATCATTGCTTCATTGAATGACTTTTATAGCCGGTGAGCTTCTTAAATTATAAGCTACACCAGTCATAACTTTAATAACAATTGTCACAAGTAGCCAGCTTCATACATTTTAATCCTAAAGGTAACATAACATTGATCATAAATCTTGGCTCTCACTTTGACGCACTTCTATACACAAAATATGCATGTTCTGAACATAGACTTTTTCTTTATGCAAATTACTCTGCTCAGCGCAAAAGTCCAAACAAACCTGTGCAAAAGTACCTTTTAGAATCCTGTGGTGTGATATTGTCTTCTTCAAGCAACTTTTCGTCATCGGGATGCAAAACAGCTGCGGGTGATTAAGACACAGTATATTTTTATTTCATTAGTATTGATGAGTACGGCAAGTAATGACACCGCAGAACGATAATCATAATGCATTCTGAGCACACTTCATATTTAAAATGCCTAACAACCCATTGATAATAGACAAAATCTCATAATTACTAATAAATACCAAATTTATGCAATAACAAGTGTTTAGCAATTTCGGTACAATTGTAATGCATAGAAATTTAGGCATGCGCTAAGAAAGTGATCCCTCTCCCACCCCTGTCTTATTCAACCAAATACAGGTTCGATGACTGCTGATTCATTATCAAACAGTAATACGACAAAATTCTTAGGCCATTGCCACTGGCAAGAATAAGAACGTGCTGCAAAAACAGCACTCAACAGGAAAATATCATACTGATCACGTAATAATACTATTCTTTGACATTAAAGAACATATCAGGCAGTACAAGTACAAAAAAGCGGTATAAAATACCGCATTTATTTCAAAATGGCCCCCATTTCAATACGCAAACGAGTTTACACCAACGAAAAATGAAAACAAAATGATCCAATTCAAACGTGCACTTCGGCTGTCGTACTTGAAAACACTAGGAACAAGGCATACTTTACAGTTCATTCAAGAGTTATTTGCAGCGCAATTGAGAATAACGCATACTTAGCCTCCCTTGCAGATTGTGTACTACAAGCTAGCTGTCAACTGCAATTAAACTTTTGCTCAAGAAACGTTGTGTTCGGAAAACTGGAAATGTTTAAAAAAGCCAAAACTTTAACAGGATGAGTTGTAGATAAATAAAACTGGCCTTTAACATCCAGTAAACTTAAAAAGCTGAAACTGATGAAATAATCAAGATACACTAGAAAAAACACCGGCGTTACTTCTGTTGATTTATATATTCAAAGCGAGTAGCATGCAAAAGGGTTAATCTCACAATTCGGGTCAGTCTCGTAAGTTTTGGGGTCAATGAGGTCAACCGTGACGCCCAGGTCGTGCTCTGCGAGTAAGTCTTGCTTGTAGTTAAGTTCCAATGAAGTAGCTTTGTAGGAGACAAACCTAAAACGTCAAGAAGAGAAGCCAGGAGAACAACATATTTGAACTCGCTGATATTTAGATTCCGACAACAAAGATGCTGATGTATAGAAAACATCAATTTGGTTAATATTATCACAAAATGCTCACCGTGGTGGTTTTAGTGCTCCGCTACTGACCCAAAAAATGGGAGTTCGAATGCCAGCCCCATTTCAATGCAGGCGGAATGCTAGAGGCATGGGTACTTGGATAAGGGTGCATGTTAGAAAAACCCAACTGTCAAAAGTTGAAAGCTCTCCACTATGGCGTCTCTTATAACCATATCGTGGTGTTGGATTAAGACCCAACGAAATGTTGGCACTACGATCCCAAAATTTTTGTTATTCCTTCCCTAACTTCCTTTGTTCTTAAGTTCCAAAACAGTGCAGACACGTTGGTAACGGCACAGATTCTAGCCTTCAAGTGAATTTACAAATGCATTGAACTCATACGCTCTTTTTCATAAATTTTTTTGAAAATTAATCATCCAGCCCCATTCATACGTTATTGTTACAGAGTGCCATTGAGGAAACATGATTGTGGTGGCGCCACCTAGTATATTGGCTTCTACAGCACGTTTGGAGCTTTCTGATTGACGGGACAGTGATTAGTTTTCTTTTGTTTTACTTGTGATGATTGTAGGACCGCGGTTAGAATCGGTTGCGTGCAGTTAGTTTGCTTTATTTATTTTGGGTCGTAAACTTGGGTAGGAGGAGGAGGAGGAAAGGAAGAAATGAAAGGCAGGGAAGTGAGCCAGACGCACGTCCGGTTTGCTACCCTGCACTGGGGGAAGGGGTGAGAGGATTAAAGGAGAAAAAAGAAAGAAGTGAAGGGCAACGTGTGTGTAGATGTGACCTTGTCCATTGCACGCTTATAAGCGGTCGCGTAGTCCGGTCGTCTTTAGAAAACTTAACAATGCCCCCGTCGCTTTGCTGGACAGCGATGCGTAGAGCCATGAGCCAAGTATCTTCTCTTCGGAAAAAGGTCTACTGTCTAGTGTCTCTAACGTTTCGCGTAGCAAGTCGCGTTCGCTCGCAAAACGTTCACATGAACACAGTAGATGTTCTATTGTCTCGTCAGGGTCGCACGATTCACATCGGGAGCTATCCACCATTCCTATGCGAAAGGAGTACGCCTTTATAAAAGCTACTCCTAACCACAGGCGGCACAGTAAAGTTGCATCCTGGCGAAAGAAGTCCGATAGAACTTGAAGCTTTCTCGATGGGTCCAGTTTGTGTAGGTGGCGGTTCCTGACACTGGGGTCACTCAGCCAAGTTTTCGACATGGTGTTAGCGAATGAGTGAAGGCCCCTTGCACCGTCGGTTCTCGACAATGGAATTGGGGTTGTCTGGGCGTCCGCGTGGGCGGATCGGGCAGCATTATCACCAAGGTCATTACCGACAATACCACAATGTCCCGGTAACCACTGGAACACCAAGTCATGTCCTTTCGATAAAACTTCGTGAATCAGTTCTCTTATTTTATTCACTATTTGTTGATGCTCCCTGCGTCGTAAAGCTGATTGCAAGCTCCGAAGGGATGCCTTGGAATCGCAGAACACAGCCCATTTTTTAGGTTGGTCTTCCGCAATATAAAGTATAGCAGCACGTAAGGTGGCAAGCTCCGCTGCTGTGGATGTTGTCCTATGCGACAGTTTGAGCTTTATAGTGACCTGGTACGCCGGGATAACAACAGCACCTGTGGAGCTGTCAGCCGAGACTGATCCATCGTTGTAAATGTGGGTCCTCTGGCCGTATTTTTTGTTGAGTAGCGACAATGTCACCTGTCGTAGGACCACTGTTGAATGATGGTTCTTGTTCGTTATTCCCGGAATAGTGAGGTACACCTGTGGTTGTTGTAGGCACCACGAGGTTGAGCTGGTCTTTTTGCTGGAGTGAAGCCAAAAAGAAGGCATTCTCTATGGGCAGAAATAATCTTTGAAAACATCGCGTGTGGTCTTTGAAGTGGCAACGCTGCAACATGGTTACCAGGAACTCGGCAGAGGTGTCTTATGTTGGCTCTCAAATTGTCATTGGTGATGTATGTTCGAATTGGATGCTCTCTTGCGATCATAATTGCCCCGTAGGTTGAGGCGCATCGCGGCAATCTATGCACACGCGTAGTGCTTGTGCTTGCAGACTTTCGAGAGTGCGGATGTTTGTCTTGCACGTACTTGCCAGTAACGGCAAGCTGTAGCACAAAAATACCAGAAACAGTGCCCTGTATAGCTGCATCATTGACCTTATCGATGTGCCCCAAGATTTTCCGCAGAGAAACCGCATTATATGGACGATGGAAGTTAGCCTTCTCTTCAGATAATTGCAGTGGGCACTCCACGAAAGGTCCCTGTCAATAATCACACCCAGAAAGCGATGGTTCTTCTGGTATGAAATATTTTGTCCATTGATGGTAACGGGGTATTGTGTCATGGCTCTGCGAGTAAACGCAACCAATGCACATTTCTCTGTTGAGACGGAAAGACCTTGCTTGGGTAGGTATGTCAGCCGCTGGCAGGCAGCATTCCTAATAGCACTCAGTGTAGAAGCATGTCTGACCAGATTTGCCGTGCCCTCACAGACAGTACGGCGCCAGTATGGTACCCGCATAGTTCAGCAGTGCTTGGGACTGCCGAGCGTTTCAGGAAAAAGAAACTGATCCCCAACTGTGCAAAAAAGAGGTGCAATTGGAAACATCATTGTGATGACCCTCTAATTGCCTCACGGAACTTTCAGCGGGCGTATCAATGGAGCTCTTTCGAGACCCAGCTTGAGTGGTTACTCCTCACAACAATTCATGCTCGCGGTTTCAAGGCAATGCGTGTCGCGAAGGTGCGGAGGTAGCCGACAACCCTTCATTCCAGGCCGGCTTAGCTCCGATAGATATCAGAAGCGCGCGGGCTGGCGACACGTGAAAGCGTGGCGGATGTCGCGGTGATCAGGCGCCTTTGTCGGCGATTTCGTGAGCATTGTCGCACTGACTTGTCTTCGACTGCTTATGCATTATTTCTTACAAATGAGCTCGCACGTGGAAACACGTGCGGTCAGCGAGCGGTTCTTTTTACAGTTCACAGTAGACATGCGAACAGTAGGCCCGTCGTCAAGGAGTCGACGTGTTGCGCGAAAGCCGTTCTATGGGCGACAAAGCTCTGTGTGTGTAGCTCTTAGTCTAGATAATTGTGCGCCGGTGAGCTTGCACATGCCTCTATCACTTTTTATAGTTTTGTGTTATTTACATTCTGGTTTTTGTGTTATTTGGGGAGAGGGCACGAGCCCCCACGTGTACGAAAATGGCATACTTGTGACGTGGTTTTCGATCGACCAAGTGTACTGTCCTATCAGTGGACAAGGAGGCGACGATTCGCCGAGAGTTGTGTAAGGGCGGAGCAACGAGGGTATGAGAAGAAGCCCTGGAGCTCTGGCAAGCGTTCTGAACTGGTCTTGGGGTGCCAGGCACAATCGGCTCGGCCGAATCCTGAAGGATCACTCTACAGAAAACAGTTCATTTCAAAACAGTTATTTTCTTTTTTTTGCAAGGTTCATGTTCGTACATATGTACCTTTTGTACAGTCCGTAAATACAAGTTTTCCTCAACCTACTAGAACATCTCCAGTGCTTCCGCTTAGTCTTCAAGTGACCAGCAAGCCAATCGCCGCTACTGGAATAGTGCAGCCCGTTTCTTCTACCACTTTGCTATACCACCTCGGGTAATGCGTGTCGGGTGCCGAATGGTGAGAGCTGGTTTCTACAAGTACGGAAAGAACCTGAATTTCACTATGATAGTGCATTTTTCTTTTAGACGGTAGAGCTTAACTAGTCAAATCACTTGGCAATGGTATCACCGCCTAATACATACGCTGAAAATTATCAATGTTCTCTCACGAATATTTAGCAATGTAATCACAAACACGTATCTGCTTTCTACATTAGGAGCATGTAGCTTGTCAACACAAAAAAGAGCGCGTCATGCTTCCTGTTTATTTGAAATGTTGCTTTACATCTTCTTTTCATTTATTATTTTAGATAACTTGTACAAAATGCAATGTACGAATAACTAAGATCAGGATTTTTTCTTCTACATGCCCATAGCAACATAATAAAAACGATGATGACGCATGCAGTAGTCGGGGTACTCTGAAACAATTTTGAATGTGGCCTAGAAACACGACTGGAGAAATAACAAATGGCGCTGCCAGAGCAACGCCAATCATTTGACATGTTCATAATCGAATTCAAGCTCTGGTGAGGTTAAAAAAAATTTACCTAAGGTGCAACCCACGCTTTGCATTCTTCGCGCTAAATAGTTAGCGCATGGGGCATGCGGAGTGCGCTACAAACGCGAAGTGATTGCGTACGCAAACGTCTGAGCATCATATTTTGAAATTGTCCTTTATTAGCCTGTTAGTTACGCAGATAAAACCCGAAAAACGCTCTTTTTACCTGTTCGGATCAAAGCGATAGGAGATGAACTTTGGGTCAAACGGAATATCCGGTAGGGTGTTGCAATATTTGACTCGGCATACAAGTTCCGACCTGCGAAAAAAGGTGGTTAAAATACATCGCATCAATAAAAAAAAGCAAAACAAAAGAACAAATGTCATAGGTCAGCGATGCTAGTAGATAAAGCTGCGTGCAGCACAGCGTTACTGTGAGGCAATTGCTTTCGGTCGTACGTAAATTCCGAAGCAGCGCATCTGCAGTTGCGAACAGCAAAACCTAGCACAGGACACCAATGAACGGTACAGAGTTTATCTTTAGCAAAAGTTTCTGGGGCATCTAAGATACACGGTCACTACTTTCCACAAAACGGCGATCTGTCCTAGGACAGTGGTGTTCTAATCATTCAAACTTACAAACGTTCATCAGAACGGCGTTAAGAAACCGATGTGTGTAGTGGGAGTAGCTATTCGTTTAATAGCACAGAAAACGGTTGAAATAATTGAAGTATTTTTAAATGCTTTTGTAACATTTCTTGTCCGGGCTGCAACAAACTTATGCACTGGAAAAGTTATAAAATTAAAATCGACTCGTTTAAACTTCCTCAGAGCGCATTGTGGTGTGGGTTTTCGGTTCCGGTTTTTGAGCAGGCTGGCTGGCCCCAAGGGGTGGTATACATATGTATATACATAAGTATATATATATATATATATATATATATATATATATATATATATATATATATATATATATATATATATATATATATATATATATATATACATATATATGTATACATATATATATATATATATATATATATATATATATTTACATATGTACAACAGTATATATGTAGTTCAGTTCGGACTGTCATGGTGAATGGACGTGTTTTTTTTTGCGCTCCTAATCGACTGCGCAGATAAGTAGTTTTGCATGTTTTGAGCTTGTATTTATAATTATTAAGGCAGCAGTTCAAATCTTTGTAGCACTTATTACAATGTACAGCTTTTTCGGGGGTCCGTCGCCAGGTATTTATCAGTTTGTGCGTGTCTGTGTGGGTTTGATTTTTCGTTTTTTTTTGTTAGGTGTTTTTTTTTCTCTTGCCACACCATTGGGGAGGCGCACGTACCTTGAACACGCAAATTTTTGTAGTAGAGCTTAGACTTTCTTTTTTTCGTAGGGCAGGGCGCGAGTTTTGTAATTATCGAGTTAGGCAAGTCATAGGGACAAATGGTGTCAGAAAGACATGGTCAAAAAGACTGTAAAGAGCTGAGGATGCGGGGTTGGTTCGCAAATATATCGAAGTGTAGAAGTTGATGTAGAAGAGATGACGCGATGTATAGGCAACGTGATGTCGAGGAAAAAATGGAGAAAATGATGGTTGCCCAGAGTTAACTGCAGATGAAAATCACCGAGCTGGAGACTGCGTTGGCGACAGACAAAAGAAAACGAGGGCAATGCGAGAAATGCTGAAGTCCGCTGAGGAAGCACTAGCCAAGGTGAACAAAGGAGCGGCCCGCAGAGAGAACAGCAGGGAATCGGCAACCAGAACGGCAGAGAAGAAAGAGCAAGCAAGTTTGAAAGAAAAAAACACGTTCCGCTGGTTCAATTGTCGCAAGGCCCAGCTTGAGCGAAGTAGTGGTGGGGCTGGGAGGGGACAAAGCAGCTGGCGTCACAGGTGCAAGACCCCCAGGTGCAGGACGCCCCAGCTGAAAAGTCACAGCATGTGATAATCGCCGGGGACTCGAATTTAAATCGATGCACAGAAGCAATCAAAGAGAGAGTAAGAGGTGACAAGAGAGTTGTAGTAGGGGCGTTCCCAGGATGCAAGCTGGAAGCAGTCATGAGGCAAGCGAGCACAAAACTCAAAACTACAGCTGATAAAACTTCGCGATAATTTCAGGCAGTTTAAACGATATCCTAAATGAAGATACACCAGGAGTAGCAAACAAACTGGCGAAAGGTGTCGATGGCATGCGCGCCACTTCTCCTCAGGTACAGGTAGGGATATGCACGATACCGGAGGTAGTGGTGCGTGACAGCAACCTGCAAAGAGCAGTTGTCAACGCGAACCAATAGATTTGGCGCATGAGTCGAGAGAAAGGCTTTGAGGCGGTGGAAATAAACAAAGAGGTGCATGGGTGGGGTGGTTTTCAACGAGAAAGAATTCACTTTGATGGGCGGCTAGGTCATGGGGTGGGTTGGTGACTTGCCGGACGCACAGTAGCTTTTCTTGGGAGGCACGCGGGCCCTTCGGGGGTGAGGGATAGCTAATAACGAGGAAAACAACCAGGGAGACTCTTTGACAGGTGGCATGGACAGATGCGATTCCAAAGTGGCACCAGCATCTAAGATAGGTAGAGTCCAGGGCAGAAATAGACGTAGCCACGAGGGCCGAGCCAATTCAGACACAAGGTATATTAACATGCAGGGCGGCCGGAACAGGCTGAAGTGGGAAGAGATAGATGAACAGATAAGAAAGGAGAAGCCGATGGTATACGTTTTTGTAGAAACACACCTTAGGGACTTGGAACAACCTCCTAAGAATCCGGAAAACGCGTGAGAATATTGAAATGGAACAGGAGGCAGCAGAAAAGGGGTGGTATTGGGGCATTTATTCATAAAATTTCAGACTGGCAAAGGGTCAAGCAGGAGTGCAAGGAACATTTATGGCTGAAGGAGATAGTGGCAGGGCAAACGACACTCCTTGGTTTCGTGTACTTGTGGACAGAAGCAAAGGCTAGAAAGGAAAAACTAGGCAATGGTAGAGTGCATATCAAAAGACATTGAGGAGTTAGGAGAGTGCGAGATAATCACACTAGGAGATATGAATGCGCACATAGAAGATATAGATGGCTATAGTGACCCGAAAGGCAAACTTATCAAGGATATGTGTGAAAGGCATGGTTTCATCATTTGCAACAGTACCGAGAAGTGTGAAGGGTAAATAAAATGGGAGGTGGGAAGGCTGCAGTCGACGATAGATTACGCACTGATGTCATATAGGATGTATGATAAGCTCAGCAGAAAGCACAATGATGAAGGTGGCTCCAGAAGTCTGAGTAGGGATCACAAACGTATCAAGCTAAGTTTTGGAAGAGTAGTGAAAGTGGGGAAGAGACAAGATGAGCAACTACCGAAAATTTTTATTCAGAATGGCATAAAGACATAGCTACTAAACACATTCAGAAAGTTCTCACTGAGAATAATAAAACAGTGTGGACATGCACGAATTTAATTAGACTGTTTGAGCAAGAGCTTTTTAAGGCACGTGACAAGTCACCCCGGAAAGAAGACACAAACGCAAGCGTTGATGGGATGAGGAAGTTAAGAGACCCATAGTAAAATGCCATGAAACCTTTAGGGAACACAGACATGCTAAGCAGTGGGGTGAACCCACAGATGATGTTGAAAGAAAATAGGAAATATTTCTCAGCTGTAAAAGGACTGCATCCCTTTTGATCAATGACAAGATTAGAAGAAAGGGAGCTCAGTGGCTGGCAGAAGTATATAAAAAGATAGAAAGGCAGCTGCGAAATTTAGGAACCATCCAAACTCCCTGAGAAATGAGACGAGCCTAGAGCAGAGTTTTATAAGTAAAGCCCAAGGGGCTAGGCTAGAAGGAGACGAAGCTATTGAATATTTAAGAACAAGGGTAACAGAAAAATTTCAACAAAGAAGTACTTTATGCACCACAATAGACAAGGACGAATCAAGTGCTGCAATGGCTCCATTTTCACAACGAGAGTGGGAAAAGGCTGAGAAAAGGGTTCCTAGTAGTACATGAACAGGCCGAGATGGCATTCCAATTATGCTGATAAAGACACTAGGTCCGAAGTCTAAGCAGGCTTTGAGAGAGGCAGTGAGCAAAATAATAATCACTGGTGAAGTCCCCGATGGATGAAAACTTAGCAGGATGAGCATGATCTATAATGAAAGGGGGACAAAGCTGACATAAACAACTACCGTCCTATAAAAGTGACATCAGTGGTCTACAGGCTGGCGATGCAGATTATAAAGGAAAGACTGCAGGCATTGATGGAGGATGAGAGGGTGCTGGGGGAACTGCAGAATGGGTTTCGGAAATACAGGAGGTTGGAAGACAATCTGTTCTCACTGACGCAGTGCATCGAAATAGCAGAAGAGGAACACTGGCCCCTGTGGCTAGCATTTTTGGATATCAAGGGAGCGTACGATAGCGTGGTTCAAGAGGAATTGTGGGGAATACTGGACACACTAGGCGTGAAAGATGGAGTCACTAATCTTTTAGAAGATATCTCTTAAGGTAACAAGGTAGTTATAAAGTAGAAAAAAGAGGTATCGAAGCCTGCAAGGTAAAACGGGGGCTTAGGGAGGGGTGTCCTCTGCCACCCTTATAATTCATGATGTATTTACATTGATTAGAGGTGAAATTAGAGCAAAGTGGACTGAGCTTCAACCTCTCTTTCGTCAAACAAGGAAAACTCCTTGAACGGACACTACCAGCATTGATGTACGCAAATGACATAGTGCTTATGGCCGACAACAAGGAGGAATTGCAGAGATTGATGAACATCTGTGGTAATGAGGAATATAGGTTAGATTTCAGATTCAGTAAAAAAAATCAGCAGTCACGATTTTCATGACAATGAAGGTAGTTAGCTTAGAATACAGGAGGTCGCACTAGAGATAGCAGATAAATACAAATATCTGGGTGTATGGATAAGCAATGGGACCGAGTATCTGAGGGAACACGAAGTATGCGTGACGACTGAAGGTAGCAGGAATGCAGCGGTGATGAAAAACACAGCACTGTACAATTACAATAAGTATGATGTTATAAGAGGAATATGGAAAGGGGTCATGGTTCCTGGGCTGACGTTCGGCAATGCGGTCTTGTGCATGAGGTCAGAAGTTCAAGCAAGATTAGAAATTAAGCAACGTGGAATAGGTAGGCTTGCCTTAGGAGCTCACGGGAATACACCAAATCAGGGAGTACAAGGTATTAAGGGGATGAACATCATTTGAGGGCAGGGAAGCTAGCAGCAAGATAAATTTTGAGAAGTGATTGAGAGAAGTTTGGGGGGGGGGGAGCGTTGGGCTAGGAAAAAATTCAGCTACTTGTACATGTCGATACAAAATGGAGGAAGTGAACCAGAAAATTGACTGGTAAATACTTGGAAAACAGCAGGGGCCAAACCAAAAAACAATTACCGGTTAAGAAGAGGGTGAAGGAAGCTGAGACCGATATGTGGAGAATTGGCATTATTAAGAAGTGCGCACTAGAGATCTATCGAGTTTTAGCAGGAAATCACCAAGGAAAGGATCAAAGATAATACTCGGGGTAGTTCTCTACTGTTTAAGGTCAGGACAGGAGTATTGCGAACCAAGACATATTGGGCCAAATACGAAGGGTAGACACGGGATGCAGTGCGTGTGGAGGGAAGAAGAAACTGCCGAACACTTGATAATGTTTTGTAAAGGACTTCACCCTATAGTTCAGGGATGGCACAGGTTTTTCAAAGCACTGGGGTTTAGGGACAGGGCGGGCAAATTGACTTTAAGCGGGTAGAATTAACTAGAAGGAGATTATCTGATTGGTGGCCTAAAGTCGAGGCACAAGTGAAAATTAAACCTTTCACTGCAAAGCACGAATACCTCATCCTCATCATTTAACGAAAAAATTAAATCTAGTTTTTTGTTTATTAGTATTCGGCTTGGTGGCGCTAGCCACCGCCCGATCTAAAGGAACAGCCATACCATCCATCCATCCATCCATCCATCCATCCTCCATCCAACGTCACCGAAGGCGGCGATGCGCTGCGCAGAGACGGGAATCAACCCGTGCGTGGGCAATGTGAAATATTTTGTAGCTCGTGCGTGGCCTCAAATGGTGACGAGAAAATGTTAATCAGCTTCTGGAATTAAAGGATGCCCCATAAGCGCGCGACTGAACTGAACTATCGCAGATGTGCCTAAAGAAGCGCGTGACAGCATTGAAACGCTTTATCGATGTGAATGGTAGAAGAATTGAACGATCAAATAAGCTGTGAGGCATGCTTGCAGCACTTTTCACGGGGAACCATCATTTCTTCAAGCACTAATCTGTAATAAGGCCCAATCATTCGAAACACCAACTCAGAGATGAGAATCACGAGCGGTATATATCTAGATGAAACATTTTATTTCCGCAGACAGGTCATACACACATTTTCGAGTAGTTATTCACTTACAGCACTGAATTACTATTAATAGGTCGCGCGTCTTTTTTTTTCATTCCCATAAAAAAGTTTATTAGTTCACAGTGCCCCACAGAACATTGGGCTGCAAGCCTAAGTGACGCGCAGGAGCTTCAGTACTTCCTCTTTTCACGGGAAGATGCTCGCCCCTTGTGGGTGTTTTTGTGTAAAAACGCAAATCGGGAGCAGAAAAACTTGGCTACTTAATCGGTGAGGCTTGGACAAAGTTGTGCGCAGCCCAATGTGACATTTTTTTTCAGCACGAACCAAGCTCCCTCATGCTGTCACCGTAAAGCTTGTTGTAGCAAACCACTTTGATAAAGTGATTCAATGACTTTTACAGTGCGAAGAGCTTCTCAGAAGACCTACCATAGGCGTCTGCACAAGGGGGGCAAAGGGGGTGGGGCGCCCCACCCCCCCCCCCATCGTAGTCACCTGAGAGGGGGCGCTAAATATGCTCAATACGTTGTGACTAGACGGCAAGATTAGAAATTAAGCAACGTGGAATTAGGTAGGCTTGCCTTAGGAGCTCACGGGAATACGCCAAATCAGGGGAGTACAAGGTGATATGGGACGGACATCATTTGAGGGGAGGGAAGCTAGCAGCGAGATAACATTTGAGAAGCGATTGAGAGAAATGGGAAGGAGCGTTGGGTAGGAAGGTATTCAGCTACTTGTCCATGAAGAATGTCGAAACAAAATAGAGGAAGCGAACCGGAAAATTCACTGGTAAATACTTAGAAAACAGCAGAAGCCAAACCAAAAGGAATAATCGGTTAAGCGGTTAAGAAGGGAAGAAAGCTAAGACCGTTATGTGGAGAATCGGCATGATTAAGAAGTTGCACTAGAGATCTATTGAACTTTGAAGCAGGATATTGCCAAGGAAAAGGGTCTATGATAATACCTGGGGGGTTCTATTGTTAGGGGCGGACGAGAGTATGCGAACAAGACTATCGGGCGAAATACGATGGGGTAGACCCGTATGCAGTGCCTGTGGATAGGAGTAAATGCCCACATTAGATAATGTTCGTTAAAGCGCTCAACCGATAGTCAGGATGATTGCACAGAGTTTTTCAAGCACTGGGGCTTAGGGACAGGGAGGGCAAGATAGACTTTAGCGAGTAGAATTAACTAGAAGGAGGTTATCTGATTGGCGGCTAAAGTGAAGGCACGAGAGAAAATTGAACCTTCACTGCAAAGTACGAATCCTGAACCTCGGTAATTGAAGAAAAAACTGAATCTAGTTTTTCGTTGATTAAAGTATTGTGGTTGGTGGCGCTAGCCACCGCCTGATCTAAAGGGTTCAGCATATCCATCCATCATAATACTGCAAAGCACCAGTACTACACTTCACTATTTAAAAAAATGAGATAAAACTAGTTTCTGGTTCACTAAGTATTATGCTAGGTGGCGTTACGCCACCGATCTAAAGGGTACAGCATATCATTCACCGATATCCATAGCGATGCTTGTGTCATGTAAAGAAGTTCCTGCTTTGCTACCGCTGCTGATACTCTTGACGGCCGGCGTTCGGTGCCGTGCCCTATGTTCCCTGCATCATGTTTGACGCACTCTACTACATTTTGGCGACGAGGATCTTCAATCCACGAGCATCATGTGAAAAGTGGGCATCCATCCTTCTTTAATCGTGCTGTCGACTCAGCACCGTGGAAGCTATCCAACCAATG